CCCCAAAACCCCAAAACCCCATTAAGCCAGTATTATTTATTTATTAATTAATAAATAATATAATATTAAAATCCTGAATAATGATAATTAATAATAAAAAACAGCGTTATCAATCTTAATCCAAATTCTTGAGTTTGTATGCTTCTGGCACTATTAGAAGTACAAAGCTATTTGAGTTTAGCAGATTATACCTAATAACATCGCTAGCGAGGTTGAACAACTTTCTTATAATGCTAATATTTCTCACAGAACCCCCTAAATCATCACTAAACTACAACGGGCTTTCAATGCAGAGTTTGAAATCTTCTCTGGTATTTCCTTCCTTACCCAGATACTCATGATCTTTATCGAAAATAAATCCACCATCTCTGATTGAGAATCCAAGGAATTTGATATCTAGTTGTCTTCCAAAGAACTTGAAGAAACAGATTATGTGATCTTACAAAAACACCTTCTCATTAATATCTCTTACCCTCTTATAGTGCATTTGCAGATAAAATGCTATCATGTTAATCAATACGAAAGAGCCTATGCCTCCAGTGTAAGGTTTATGAACATTTTTATACTTGAGGAAAGCCTTTAGAACAAAGTACATAGGTCTAAGTTCAGGATATTTTGAAATAAGAGTGCTTACTAGTGAAAGACCTTTAAGCCCATCGTCTCTATTCATAACAATATCCATACTGATGCCAGTGGCTTTATGCTAAGCTTGAATTATAGGGACTTGAGTGTTTCTTATATCATCAATGCTCTCGAACAAATTGCTTTCAACCATGATATGCAGAACGTGATTGTAGAGGTTAGCATAGCCGTAGTCATTATTCATCACCAAGATATCAATATCAGATCCTGAAAACGCTAATCTATTAGCTGTTGAGCCAAACATGTATAATTGTGTTCCTGGAATTTTAATTTGAACAAGCTTTTCAATTTCGTTTAGGATCTCATACCTCTATTTAATTTCTGCATCACTCATCTGAATCCATTCCACAAATCTTAGAACTTCCGAATGAAAGTATGCTCTTGCACTTTTGGTTTTTATACTAAGAGTTTATTCATTTACCCAGGGTGGTATCTTTTGCAAATTCTGCTTAATTAATTGGTTTATCTGATCAAGGGATAGTGAGGCTATAATATATTATTTCGAGTTTAGCTTACCCTTGCACTAACTTTCCTTTAGGAGTCTCTCTCTTCTTGTTTCAACGCTCTCCTGAGTTTGAAAACAGATTAATTCATCAAGGGGTTCAAGAGATGAATAGGTAGACTCTTGACTTAAGGATTGAAGAATATCCTAGGGTGTCTAGGTATTTCTCTAATCAATGAGTTATTTAAATATTTTGTCCATTTCTGACTAATGCTTTTAGTTGGCTAAATTTTGATTTAAACTAACAATAAATTATATTTTTAAATAAATAATAATAATTCTTTAAAACTAATAATGCCATAAATTGAATAGGAATCATGGGGTTTTGGGGTTTTGGGGTTTTGGGG